AAATCATAGTCATCTTCTACTTAATGTAATTTTTTCATTTGGTGTCACACTAGTTTTATTGCAAGAACATTTTCACCGTTTGATTTTAATACTTTGAAGTATCTTAAATTATTAAACTTAAAAAAATCGTAAATTTTCAAAAATTACCAAATGTATGTGACAGATATTCTGCATGCAGCCATTTTTTTTCAATTTGGTGGCACTTTTTTGAAACTTCACAGATATGAAAATGAACATTCTACTTAAAAATTTCCCAAAGTTATTAAAAAAAAACAATTATGATTTTTTCAAGTGACAATGAAAAATTAGTATTTTCGGTTTTCACCTAAATAAATGTTTTAAGGTCAAAATTTTTCAAATGCTTGATTTATTTTTTATAGTACGTACTTGTTTCTGGAACTCCATTGATTGAAATATACACAAGAAAACTGCTTTAGGGTTTTTTTTTCTGGCGAGAGAAGGAAGTGACACTAAAAATAAACTCGTGGGATTTGCTCATAGACTGTCATTAAATTGCTTTTGCACACCGTGTGCTAATTTTGAAGTACTACTACTACTAGTTGAAATACAAATCGCTTGTATGACTTACAGGGGCTTGCAAATATAGATACAAATCTCATGCGCGAATATACAAGATTCATATCAATTGAAACGGCTGTGTATTAACACGCCTCAATGTATTTATTTAGGTACAAATTAACCCTGTGCAACCAAGTTACTTGTGCAAAATCCACGCCTCACAACTGCACTGGACATATGCCACAAATGCCACACATTCCTCAGTACATTTGAATGTACATATGAATGTATGTAAATTTGTACATTAGGGCGGTCCTTAAAAATATCAACATCTAAACTTTGTATGAGTCACAGCTTTTTCTATTCTACATACAAAATAAAGACGTCCACGAAAATTTCGAAATTTAAAACATATATTTAGGGGTCGCTCCTAGGGTTTGCGAAAATGAAATTTTTTTTAAATCGCACAAATTTTACAAAATTTTGACTTGAAATTTGAAATTTTTGAGATGTTATTGAAACTTACGCATATGAATTCGTAAACACACTAAGTTATAGCCGGTAAAAGTTAAATCTTCGTCGAATTTTTGCGATTTCAAAAAAAAAAACATTTTTTCAAACCTTTAAACTTATTTGTTTTTGGATATTTTTAAGCGCCACCCTAATGTACATTTACGACATACATATGTAGGTACTGTCATTCTTGCATTCAATTGCAAGGCGGTTTCAAATTACTAAGTCAGACGCACCCACTTTGGTATTAGAGGCTGAAATGAATGCAGCTCATTTCGCTCGAATAGTAATTGCATTAAAGCACTTACATAAGTAAATACAAACTAATGTGCATACACACACATACATGTATGTACATATATAGTTAGTGTTACGCGCTTCTTATACACAGGTACCCATTGCATATAGAATTGCGGGTACTAACTGACTTCCAAAGTATTATTGCTCCACATTTGCTTCATTTAATGTAACAACTTGTTTACCGTAAATTTGTACAAATGTATGTCGATGTATACGCGCGATTTTTATTGCACTTATTACCGCTTGCCTCTCCTTTTAAACACGCAGCACAATCAAGGAAATTATCGTTTTGCCACTTGCATTTCCTTAACTATTCGCCACTTTTGCTCATTAACACATTGCGATTGCTATGAAATGCAATGGTGTCATAAAATTACCAATAACACACCATTTTAGATTCTCGACATAACTTACTCAAGGATTTTTGTGATTTTAACTACATCGATAAATTATGCAACTCATCTGTCAAAGATGACAAAGCTGGGCGCCATTTTGCTAAGAGCTACCACTTACTGGGGACCGCAAGGTTACCGGAGATGAATAGGCGCTGTTGCCCGCAACTGGTGTGAGTGGTGTGAATCCCCTAAACCTCCTAACCAACCTAATCGGTATTTTGTCTGGAGGAGATTTGAGCGCTAAGCTCTGTATCGTTACTATCACTTTGATTCCATCCAGAAGTTGTCTTGATTTGGTCATTAAAACTACCGACCACAGTCATGAAGTTTATTTAAGAAACTGACTATTGACCTGAGGCGACGTGTGTCGGCCAGAAGCAAATCTCGATTTTGGGCAGATTTTGGTCAGATTTGCTTTCTTCTATCTAGCGTTACTATCGAGGCACTAGACAAAAAGCTCGCTCTAAACAGCCACTGTCCAGTGATTCTAGAGTCTAGACAACTTTCGTCTAATGAGCTGTGCAATTATTAATCAGAATTCCCATACAGTCCCTAATATAAAATATAAACCTGAGCCGCTTCTGTAATTCTAGAGATAATTTAGGTTTGCACAAAATACCCTGAGTCCTGAGATGGTTTATTATTGTATGGCTGTCACTCGCCAGAGCTTGTCATGGCGATATCAAGAAAACAGTTGTCAGAAAAAACTTTCCAGCAACAGGATTGGTTACTCTAAGTAGGATTTTATTGGATATAGGCACTGCTAAAAAGTATTTCTTTAAATGAAATTTTTCCAACACCAAACTACTATTTTAAAGACAGTCCAGGCTGTAAGAAGATAAGCTCGTTTTAGGACAACCTATTCTGTACCCGTCAAGGTTACCCTTTTAAGGCTGTCGCATGGCAGTTACTGTCCTGGTGCTGACAACGAAAACATACTGGAGAAAATCTACCTATCACCTGAATTGATTACCCAAGTCAAGATATTGCGTGGTAGTGCCCGTCTAGGCACTAGGGGAGATAACCGTTGTTGAAAAACCCGTTCAGCGCTCGAAGTGATTATATCTGAATGACTTTTGTGTGCTACGGCTTGTCCAGATTCTATTGGGTGAGAAATAAATTATCTGTAGAGGGGATTTTCATGCCAGCATCTATTTTTGCACTGTCAAGAAAATCTCAGTTATGGAAATATAGCTAGGCTCTATACGGATTCAGGGCTTTGTCTAGATAATTTCGGGCCAGGGTATTATGAGTGTCGAGAAGTTGTGATAGCTATCAGCATACAAGACAACGAAGGGGCTGACAGACTAGCAGACTCGGCCTTTTACAGAACGATGATACCAGATTTATTTTGGTCCAAACATATTGGATGCCACGATGGACATTCACCTCAGCATCATTCCGCAAAAACTCATTGGGCAATCTGTATGCTATTGCAACAACCACATGGACATTCTTAGCTATTCATGGCGACGGGTCCAAGCGTCTACAGCATTGGCGGTAAAATTAATTACTCCAATTTCTGCATTGCCTAGAAATATACGGGTGGGTCATAGAGTCAGCAGCTACCCCGCAGCATGTAGTCAAAGTCTTCTCAATACCTCTTCGCAAGCACTATGACTGCGACCATCGACGTTGGGATCAAGATTAATATTTCGCTGGATTGCTACCATTGTGCATATTTACAAGTGAAAAAAGAATCAGATATTTTGCAGAAATGCCCCACAGCTGAGATCACCTGATTTTATTTGCTACAGGGTTACACTAATATCTATAAAAAAATTTAAACATCCTCTGACCAAAAAAAGGCAAAAAAGTTCTATTAAGTGTAATAGTTATTGACCAAAACACTTTAAGATACTAAAATGGCATATAAATGCAGGAATCCATTTAACTAAATGCATATCTTGCCAATTTTTTTACTTTATTTTAATAACTTTTGCCTCTTTTACATCACTTTAAACACCCTGTCTAACATTTTGGCAGGATAGTTATACATTTTGACAGGTACTTTTCAAGTAGCTTCCAGGCGGTTTCCAGGCAGAAGAAGAACATTTGTCACTTGTAAGTATGCATAATGTGACCAACTATTTCATAACTCAAAGAAGTACACGTAAGGTTGGGGTAAGTTAACGCCGCGAGCCGATTATGAAACTTCGTTTCCTTTTCCTTTTTTATGTCACAAAGGGACCCGGTTTTCCTTAGCCTAATAGCAGTTCGTGCTGCGACAATTCTGTCTGCAATATCCGCAGAAAATCCCAAGGGGAAACATGAGAGCCTTTTCCAGCCTTCGGGATGAACGCACAACTGACTACCCTCAAGCCTTGGGGATGTACTCGGTCCTCACGCAGTTCGCATAAGGAAGATCCAACCAATTGCGGGACACCTTCAGAGCCTTTTGCAGCTGCGCAGGTCGGATGCCATCGGTTCGCGGCGACTTTAATGGTTTGAACAAATTTATTGCCCAGGCCATGTGACTATCGTCCAGAAGATCGGAGAAGTACACGACCTGGGGGAAGGTTCTGTAACCAGTAGCGACAATCTTCGAATCGCTATCGCAATTTTGACGGAAAAACATTTATATAATGCGTCAAAAAGTGCGATAGCGATCCGAAAATTATAACTAACTGGTTACAGAATCCGGGGAAACTTTCCATTATGGCCGTTCGTTAAAAGTGCGGTGGGGAAAGGGGGAGTGGGCGTGGCACCTCCAACCGACCTTTTTGGAGAGGGCATGAACCGCCATTGACAAAAATTCAATCCCCGACCACATAGGGCCCCTATGGTTGTGGAAAATTGTGATTTTTGGCAGTTTTTCTAAGGGGTCCCTAGGGAACCATAGGGGACCTAGGTGGTCGGGGGTTGCATTTTTGTCAATGGCGGTTCATTCCCTCTCCAAAACGGTGGGTTAGAGGTGCCACGCCCACGCCCCTTCGCCCACCACCCCTTTAACGAACAGCCATAAAGGAAAGCCAACCCCAGAATCCCCTCTTGAAGTACAAAATATCGCAAAGTACATTTGACTGTACTTCGAAGTACGAAGTACAATACCGAAAAAAGAAGTACTCTACATCTGAAAGAAGTATGGTTGGTCACATTAAGTATGCACAATGATTGCTACATTCCGTTATTTTGAAATTAAAAAGATACTGAGTTTGCGCGACCTCTATCGATTATCTCGTACAAAGCTCGTAATCTAAACAAATATCGTGATACTGTGGCAACGCCGTCATCTGTGGTTTGTTTACTTATCTTTCCTACCTGCTGAACAGCTGTTTACTTGTGACAGCTGCAGTTGTAATTTTTTAAACACAACTTTTTGTTGATAGGTGCATTATTCTCTTTTAAATTACAAACGAAAACCTGCGAGTGATTTTTAATCATTTTTTTTTACAATTCACTGTCACAACTACAACTTTAACTATGACCAGTATAATGGTACTTTTTGCGCTCATCTTGGGTAAGTGCTTATATGGTATTTCCTTAAGTGCAATCGAATTAAGTCCTCGTTCCGTTATCCTTAGCTGCTTGCCATGGCACATCCACGGCTGAGATGCCTGCATTCAAAACTATTTTCAAATTCTTTGGCGGTGGCAACGGCGCCGAATACGTCATCAATGGCACCCGCTCAAGAGATATCTCGCAGATGACAGCCGAGGAGTTGGGTATTTCACGCGGACAATGCCACTACGATTTTCTATCGTACATAACTTACAGTGACCGCATACATTGCGTACCTGATGATCGCTATATATTACATCTCTTGCCATCTAACGGTGGTGAGGGCATACGCAAGCCACCGATAATGGTGCGTTGCATGCAGCCAGAGCGGCCGGAGAACGCTACACGCAACGATAATACGCTACTCATAATGCAAAGCGTTAAAGATATAGTTGCACTGCTGAAGCCAGTGGGTAATGCAACTAAACGTCACGAGCATGGCAGTTGTGTCATTGTGCTCTTCTATACCGAGTCGAGCCTCGGCTGCGCACATGTTGCACCCTATGCCAATATGTTGCCCGCACTATTTCCCACACTACGTTTTGCTGCTATTGATGCATTCAAATTTCCCAGCTTTAATACGGAATTCGGCATTGTCGGACTGCCAACACTATTGCTATTCCATCAGGGTCGACCGATTGTAAAGTTCTACAGTGATGTGGGCACTTTTCATGCATTCGTTACGCGGCATACGGGCATCAAGCATGTTGAGCCAATGCCCAAAGAGTCTGAATTCACTGGACCATTACCAGTGCTGCCAGTACCGGAAGTCGACTATGTGCTCATACTTGCTTGGACTTTCATCTTGGTGTGCTTGGGCAATTACTTCGCCAAATCCCATTTGTGCAAACAAATTGTTGAGATGATTAAAAGAAATTGGCGTGAATCAGAGGCACGTATGGAACGAAATTAAAACAGGACATGATAGGTTAAGTTTTAAATTATCGATTCTCACTATTATTAATTGCAAAATAATTTAATTAATAAACCAAAAAAAAA